TCTTTCCATAGAAGTCTACAGTGCCTCGCCATAGGGACCCCCTATTTTATTAATATCCAAAGATAAAAACAATGCCGATGAAATTCATGCAAAGAGGAAGGAAAGGGAGGCATTCCACCAGGTTTGCTGTCCTGCCCGGCGGCCTGCTACGTCGTCGTTCCATCATCGTCTTTACGAAGATGGGATACTCCGGTCACCACTGCCGACCAAATGGTCCACCAAAACCCAAAAAATCGAAAAAAAATTTTTGGCTGGAAGTTCGTCCATAAGGGTAATCGATGGTCCTGATTACGATTTTGACACTTATTTTCGACGTCGACGCAATTTGGCGCCAGTATAGCGCTTAACGTCCCTCATATGGGGGTACATAGACGTACCTTTCGCTCCTTTTTTGGCGTTCCTGGGGCCGCTCAGCCAAAACGAAGCCCACTTTTATGGTTCATGGGCAAGGCCCTACAAAGTGCAATAAACCGTTTCGAAAAAGCGGGGCACACCCTGAACGACCTTCCTGGTTAGTGAGGAGGCATTTCGCTAGGTTGGTGGTTACTTGGTGAGACCTGTCAACTCTTGTGAAACTGCGAAACGGAAAGGATTTCGTTGAGTCGCTCTGATAATACATGTTAACTCTAAACTAAAAAAATGGCATGTTCAACGGCAGTTGACACGATATTTTGCTACTCGCCTTAAAATGCTAGCAGGGCGCTATATAGTGGGGAAAATGGCGAAAAAACGAAGTGAAACGGTCAAAAACCTGCGAAGAAAAGCCTTCGTTCTTAATGACTCAAAAAGCAATTTCGGACGAGTTTCCTGTAGGCATATTGCCAAACCGCTACGGTAGATATACTCGAAATCCCTGAGATCGGGTAGGCGGAGCATTCGAACACTGTAAGGAACTGGTTACTAGTGGAATATTCCAGTCTGGGACAACTGTCATCTTGTTCTGTGTTGGACAGAGACACGACAACGATTGTGTCGAGATGAAAATATCGCATCAGAAGCGTAAACGCCTTAAGGATAAGTTGAAACATGCGGCCACGCCTACCCGATCTCAGGGATCTCGAGTGTACGTATGTGCGTGCTCATATATCCATGCAGCACCGCAGCCGCTTCATACCAATCCCTTCGCTTCATATTTTACTTAGCAAATGAAGCAATACGAGCATCAGGAACGGTCGTCCATTTGTGGGCGGGCGGGCGTGGTGGGCGTTCGGGTCGGTATGTTGTAGCTTGATAGGGCCCTTATGGGGCACCTCCCTTGGAAAAGGCGCTACGCAGCGCCTGCTCAGGGTCGCGGAATTCCGTCCTGCCAGGCGTATTAATCCTGCTCGTCTTAAGGATTTATCGTGCCAACTTCCTTTAATTACGGAATGGCTGCATTAGCATTACACAAGTTAACAGGTCTCAACATGGTGGCCTGTACAAGCTTATTGTCAGCTGACCAAGGAAGGTCAGTGTGGCCGTTCGTAGTGACATGATGACATCGACTGATGTGTATTCGAAAGGTGAGTTCAAATCTGCTTTCGAAATCTACAGAACGATTCACTGAATGGAATAAGGGAGAGTTTTTTCAATATGGTAGCATTCACTTCTCATTTTCCTTCACACACGTTCAATCTGAGAAGTATTACGTTGCAGGAGTTCGGTGGTTAAATTGGTTCATAAACGTGAGGTCACGGATTTAAATCCTTGCTGACATCTATATTTCGCTTTCAAGTGCCTTCCCTTATGCAAATGGATATGTAAGTGCCTTCCCGGGAAATTCACACTGTGCGTAGGTTTCTCGATTGGAGCAACGAAACTCGTGGAAATCGTTGCACATGTTTTTATTTTCTCCTTATTTCCGCACTATTTTACGTGTTTTTGGCAATCTCCTAAACTCACTCGCCACACCTGCTAGCGCAGCGAACTACGATTCTCTTGTCATACACCCTGCAATATGTACGTCTTCCCAGTTACTTGGTTAATTTAATCTTTGCTTGGCACGGTTAGAAGCACATGCCGGTAAAACCACGGGTACGGTTCTTCGTATGGGATATTAGTATTTAGAAGAAGTGCTATAGTAGCATTCCACAAGCACATACGATACTCTTTTACGAAGTGTTGAGAACAGAATAGTTTCTTACAGTGAGCACAAGGAACGAAGAACGGCTCCGACAACCACTATGATTATAGCCACCAAATGGCCCACATGAGAGACGGTTCTGAAATGGTGTCTATGCACCGAATGCTAATCTTTTCAGAATGAGGATCCACACAGTATTTATCTGGCATTGACGTGGCGTTCCACTTCGAAAAACCAATACTTTCCTCTACAATTCATGGCAAAATGTTCTGCTCAAGGTTGCTGCGTGCATACTTATTGAGGGACTTCGGTTCTTGCGAAATCACGCGCGCACCATCTCGGAAAGAACGAAAGATAATAGACGACCTTGCGTCTATCCTACGAGAGGCGTCATACGACAGTTTGATGGCCGACTTTCACGAAGAGTCATAAGCTGAAGAATACACTGAGGACCCATTATGGATTCCACATGCTGAAGACTGCCACAAATTGGACAGAGCCTTGCAGGGATCTTTCGTCTTCAGGGATGCTGAGATTTCCAAAGATGTGAGTTGTTATTTCCATAACGCTACCATCTAAGGTAAAGAGTGGCATAGTTTACAATGCAGTTCAGCGAGGCGACCTCATCTGCTGAAGCCAGCCAATCTGTTTTTCTCTATGAGCAACAGATATCGCCTCATTCAAAGCAGATATCATGTGGAGATGTTGCGACAGCTTGAACGGAATCATGAGCTATCCAACAACCGGGACTTTCTCGATGTCCAGCTGTATTTATACCACTGTCACTTTTTAGAAGGAATTCGTGCTGGCCGTCTCATCCGTCTGCAAGCACTAATGGACAAGCTAAAGCGCAAGGTGATGTTAAAGTTCAGTGCAGGCATTACATTGCATAGCTACGACATCCACCGTATGGCGTTTAAGATCAACAGGGATAATATGTTGATCGAAATCATCAGGCGAGACATGGCTAGATTCGAGGATTTCAAGAGAAAGTTGTTGGATCGTTCCTCATCGGATCACAACCTCCGCTTCAAGGAAGAGATTACAGGACAGAGATCGTATCGCTGTTGAAGCTCAAAAGTTCATCTTGGAAGTGAACAAAGGTGAGACTCATTTAGTAAATTCTTTGCCAACTCCGCCTGCTTCGTTCTTAGCGCGACTTTGTTTTCAGAAATGAAAAAGTGGCCGCTCGAATTTGTTTGAAACGCGGATCAAACTGGATTTTCGAAGACTGCACAGATCCGGATCGCCGGCCATTAGAGATTCGGATGCAGTTGAAAAAGTGGTACAATCAGTATTAGCCGCAACGCTTACCTTTATTGTAATGCCATAACTGCTCGCCGAAGGCCACCCAGGAAACACACTCTTGTAAAAATTTGAGCGCGTTGCTCAAGAGTTAGATTCAACTTAATTCGCTCTAGTTACTATTTTAACACCATCCCAATGGTCCCTCTCCAAAGGGCGTTTCCAACTGCCACCCTGGTGGTTCAAGCAACTCCAAATCATACTATGAGTACAGCTCATGCTGGATTGGATTAGATCCTTGCAGCATCTTAAGACTGTCGACACTTCTCGTAGTTGACTCGTGGGGTCTCTTTAGTGACCATGAGTCTATACGGTCTGCATCGCCATTGGATAAGCAAATGAAGGTTCTCAATATACCGGCAGGTGCAGCACACTTGATTCAACCTATCTTCTTTTTATCTTTCAAGCCATGTATATAAGCGTCTTGTTTCCTACGTCATTGTCCATAATGTGGATTTCCTCGAAGATGAACGAAACTCTATTCTCCGCCTTCCATCTCTAATCTATTTCAGGTTTTGTTAATCCCAATTTAAGAAGAACAGAACATTCTGGTGGACTGGGGTACCACTTCTGTGATGCATTCACGTCTCGGCTATTTCCGCAATGTGATCGTACTGGTATTGCGAAATTCTTCTTCACTTGCGTTGCTCTCACTGTGAAAAACTATGATGTTCTCACCATTTCGTGGAAGAGTATCATATGTGCTTGTTAGATACTAGTATTCTATCCAATTACGCACTTCTTCTATAGATAAATATGAAATAAAAACAACAGTAATCATAAATTTGCACTTTCTGGCACATGCTTCTCCATAAGCAGACATAAGAGAAGTCACGAAAAAAGCGGGATGCTAACTCAGGTCATGTACGTCGGCAACTTGAATCCGCGTCTCTCTTCTTTGAGGGATTAAGCAGAGACACATCCTTCGGTGTACATCTCATTACGAATGGGTGGACGGACGTGTTGACCTTCTTTGAAGAACCCAATCCAACCCAATCAGCGCTCAAGGATTCCAGGCACCATAGTCGAATACAGGGATCCGCGGTCTCACTTCAGTACAAGTGACAGGCAAACGATCAAAATGACGCAGTAATTCGATGGACATTGAGATTGCTGAATTGAACTGAATGCGGCTTTTTCTTACTGGTGATGGAAATGCTATTCAATACAATCTATTTAGAAGAGGAGGTACCGCTTACTCTAAACGAAGGACCTCTGAGGCTCACTAGAGAGGTACGAAACCCTTTCTCATGTTTCTCAACCATTTTCTGAGACTGTGAATGAGAGGAATGACCGTGTGTGCTGTGTTCCCTTAGCAGATTACGTCCTGCTTTTCTCAGGCGCTTTCTAACTGCTGTCCCCACACGTTTTTTGCAACGAAGCATTCCAGCGGCCGCCCTTCGGCTGCCATCTGCAGGATTTCTTGCGTCGGCTGACTTGGATATAGAATGAAGGTTCGCATGAACATAATCGCCGTATACTCTGAAGGAGTCCGTTGATGGGCTGGACCTTGAACTTATTTAATTTCAGATGATTTTATTTGAGTATGGCCGGCGTGAGTATGCCTCTAGCCGCGTTGGATTGCGGTTAACATCAGGCGCTTGAAATCCGATTCCCTCGTCGCAACGAATTAGTAAGGGCACTCACACTCAACATATACAATGTCACTTCAAATTGACCACTTTTACACCAAACTCACCTTTTTTCAAACCAAATCCTCCACTTTCCAAACCAATTTCACCAATTTCAAATCGAATGCAGGAAATTTTTACAGCAAACAGTCAATTAGCCAAACTGCGCTAGAGCGCACCGCAATCCTATCCCCTACAACCACACGCCTACTTTTCAGCGTGATCCTAATTTTTAAAAGTTTAATTTATTACTTCTGCTTCTGTGACTTTCTTGACTTTTGTAACTTCGCACATATACAATTAACTGGAAAGTATTGATACACGGACATACAGGCGGCTCCGCTCCTGCAACCGCCCATGCACATTGAGAAGCGAAGAGAAGCTCCGCCCACTTCTGGGCGTTTTTACAGAATTTTGAACCTTTTCGAAGTTTTCACATTTTTAGAGTGCTACGGAAAGCTCCTCCTCATATTGCTCTACTCACTTCGTCAAAGCCCCGTCCACTTTCGCGAGCTGCCTCAGATTAGCAGGTTGGAGTCTCAGCTAGCAGTTCACAGTCTCGCTCGTCATTCGGAACAAAGCTTACCAGTTTTTTCTGTTCAAAGTGACGAACGAGGGTAGTACTTGCTAATTAAGACTCTAACCTGTCAATTTGAATCATTTTGCGAAAGTGTCTAGAGTTTCTCGTTAGTTAGGGTAGGAGGGGGGGAGGAAGAAGGTGTTTCTCGCAGCAATCCAGAAACGTGAAAACTTCGAAAAGGATAAAAAATTCAACAAGCAACAGAAACAGAAAATACAATTACAAAGTAGAATTCAAAAATAATAAGCTCCGCCCCCCACGCTATAAAGTGGGCGTGGGTGTAGGGGCGAAGCTTGGATGGTGTCTAGCGCGATGCGGCTGATTGAGCGTCTGCCGTCCGGTGTGAAAAGTACGTTGAGTTCAATTTAAAAAAATGGATCTGGCTCAAAAATTGGCGAATTCGAAATGAAATGGTATGTATCAAAAAAAGGAAAAAAAATGAAAGCATGAGCGCATGAAAGTATATATAGGTGGTCACCTGAAGCGCCGATGCCGACTTCGGATCTGCAACCGACTCAAAGAATGCTTCCATAATAGATTGCACAGCATCATAGCCACCGCTAGATCCATGATGAACATCCGAAAACGTTGCGATCTCACGAATCATCTGAATTGAACTCATTACTCTATCTGAAAATCTGCTACATTAGTCATTTTTCCCACCAACTTTTACATTCACACATATGTGGGAACAACAGCGTTTCCTTAGATGAAAATCTTGTAGGATGGTCAGGCGGGATAGAGGATTCATATTTCGCGATTTTGTAACCCTGATCGCGCAAACCTTGTCATCAGCGGCAGCGATCCCTGATGATGGTCGTGCACGGTTCACTAGGTTCGCGTGCGATTGAGTCGCAAAGTCTGAGTACCGTTCCCAAAAAGAGAATTAGTCAGACTGGTGTGAGCTCCACCTTTGTTCCCTTAGGCAATGATTTCGAGACTAGCAATTACATTTCATCAGTATGGTTGCTCTCATCGCCTGCCAAATCTATTCAGGCACGTAAGCAATCGTACATGGGCTGTAGAAATATTGTTCTTGATCCTTCTCCCATGACTGCAGTTCTTCAAGCAACGTCACCAAAGAGAGGAAGGTGGTAATTCGCACTAGCAAAGTATGCATTTTACTGGAAAGGAGGAAGAACTTTGAGCCCACCCCTCCTGGGTTCATACCTCTCCCAAGCTCATGAAGGACGAGTCCGTCGATGAAATAACAGTAATTCACGCTAGGCCAGAGACGAAACGAGTTATGTATGTTTTGAAGTAGTTTCGAAGCATCTCTATTTCTTCGGTTCTACAGTTGACATCGTGACCACTCAGGATGGTTCATGAGGGATGGAATGAGGCCTCTTCTGCCGTATTTTCTAGCACTAGGGATCGGACAGTGATTAGATTCAGAAAGAAAACAATCGGTGGAAGAAAACGCCGCGGGAGGTTCAATTCCATGGCCTCTGACACCGCCCACAATGATTGCGACGATACCAGTTGTAAGCAGATTTGGATCAGGAGTCACGAAGCCGTGTTGAGTCTCTTCAGCTACTAACAAGGGAATGGTTTGAACTTCCCATGGAACTTTGAATGGAGACCTAGGTACATCGATAGAGCCTCGAATGCTGATTACGAATATGCAGATTAAAAGTGCTACGGGGACCTCCCAGACGAGATCTGGGTGGTCAAAGAGTTTTGGCTCGTAAGCGCTGCTGATCGATGCCTCGGCAGTGCCACCGTGGCCTCGTGGTAATGGTCTCGCTTTCAAGTCAAACGCATGCGGGTTTGCATCCGGTTGTATAAGAGCTTCAACTCTAATTTTCGAAATTCTTCCGAATTTACGGCCCAGCAGGGCAAGTAGATCAAGTACATCAAGTATACGACGTACTCGATCTAGTATGGATTTGGTCATATCTGCCCTCTCTGAACATATTACCCATCCGACAATTCAAAGTTTTGCCCAGAATCGCAATTTGGCCAGACGAGCGTTTTTTCGTCGAAGGATGTGATATTCGTGTTCAGGGGGTCGAAATCTCCCATGAACGAATTTCTCGCTAAAACTTTGAATTGTCGGATGGGTAATATGTTCAGAGAGGGCAGATATGACCAAATCCATACTAGATCGAGTACGTCATATACTTGATGTACTTGATCTACTTGCCCTGCTGGGCCGTAAATTCGGAAGAATTTCGAAAATTAGAGTTGAAGCTCTTATACGGAGCGAAGCAAAAATTTTCGCGCCAACCGGATGCAAACCCGCGTTTGACTTGAAAGCGAGACCATTACCACGAGGCCACGGTGGCACTGCCGAGGCATCGATCAGCAGCGCTTACGAGCCAGAACTCAAACTTTGACCACCCAGATCTCGTCTGGGAGGTCCCCGTAGCACTTTTAATCTGCATATTCGTAATCAGCATTCGAGGCTCTATCGATGTACCTAGGTCTCCATTCAAAGTTCCATGGGAAGTTCAAACCATTCCCTTGTAAGGCAATTTTCTCTTTTTCTGTTGAAATGCCAGTAAACTTATTGGTTCGTATGTGGTTGTTCAGTGATCACCACAGCAACACAAGTGAAGATGAATTTCTTAAGAAAAGTGCCTCACCCTTGCCGCGTTATGCGCCAACAACTTTGGATTCGCTGGTGTTATCTCAAGTGGTGGCAGAGTTGCAATTGGTGGGCTTGGTGTTGTCGGAATGATCGTTGGTACCGTTGGAGGAGCCCAATTCCAGAACTGCTGAGGAGGCTGTGCTTGAAAAGGTTCCCTAAAATCATTTCATCACAACAACACTGAATGGTTGGAATGAACTAGTAAAAAACAACCGCATTAGGTGGAAAGCTCACATTTGACTGTAAAACGAATGACTTAAAGGCACAGTTCGCGACCGCAAATTGCGGGAAACGGAACTCAAATAGGCACAAAAAAGTGCTAAGTATCTGATTAGCGGAGAAAAGCAGCAGAAAAAGCAGTCCGAAATGTTATAGAGAAAGATAACATAGTGGCTACTAGCTAGTAGCTAGCAGCCGGTGAGGGTCGGCATGGGCCTAAGGGGTGTCCATGGGCCTAATTAGTCAGCTTCTAGCGGAGTTCTTGCCGTTTTTCACATTTTGAAAGTAGCGCAGCCTCAAAAATCGCCTTCCGGATCGTCCGACACATTTGAGAGGTCATAGCCTTATTTTATCGCGGAATGTGCCTTTAAGAGACAGATCACCAGGAAAGGTGAAGAACACCCCATGAACTTTTGATATGAGATGTAATTCACAGATGCGCTCATTTGTGTAAAGGTGATCCACATATGGTTCAGTTCAGGAGTGACGAGCCTTTAGAGTTACGAGTGGTCAGACTTTCAAAAATGTATGGTGGTATAAGGCAAAGATGGCATGGTTGCAGAAGTGACCCGTTTAATGGCAATGTATTTGTTGCTTCGGGGCTCGTGAGGCTCTTGCTTTACAGGCGGTGTGATAAGATTCTGCTCTCTGTAGGTGCAAAAATTCGTGCCTTATCTCCTATGCCTCCCCTCCCCAAACTCCTCTTCAATCCCCTTTTCTTAGGAGAAATAGAGCACGACCTTGTGCTCAACTCACTGAGTAGTTTTGAAGATCCTGGTGCCCGATTTTAGTTGGGTTTCTCGGCTCCCACTTTGGTACCAATCTGTATCTGAAGCTCTAGCCCTCTAGGTCGTGGGCTCCAGGTTCTGAGACACCCATGTTCCCGAGTTCCACAACTACGTGTTTTCCACGTAATTGTGGAACTCGGGAG